AAAACAACTAACTTTTCAGTATTTCAGTACCATGCTCTTCAGCACTACCGGGTTCATAGCTCTCGTCTATTTCCAATCAGGTCCAAGGGAGAGAAATGTGATGTTGACAGGCACCCTAAAGTGGAAAAATCTACCAATGAATAAAATACGTAAGCCTGGTCAAATGCTTTATTGATGCATTACCTATGTTTTTGAGATTTGAACGGATAGCTCTCTCACAGCAAAATTCCTAAATTTGGTTAGTGGTTAAAACTTCCTAAAATAACAAAATAACCTCCTCCCCATACTTTTAATTAATGCAACTAATCAAGAGAACTTCTGTCACAAATACTACATACTTAATCACATTGTTTCCGTTTTCTTCTAACTGTAGCTTAAAATACACTTGTTGCTGCTCATTATGAGTATAGAGTTTTGTACTGATATATTTGTCATATTGTGATATCTCTGCATTTGTAAAGAGTTGAGGGGCGGCGCGTGCGCTTTCATTAATTCGACTGGATTTTTCATCGATTGTCGGTTTATGTCGTATAAATTAAGTATTTATCATAAGTTCTAGATATCAATATTGATGATTTCTTTAACGTTGTATCTGTGTTTTCATGTTTAGGATGTTTACTTAGGTTATTAAAAGGAAGTCGATAACAAATTTACTACAAAATCAAATAGATATAACTGATGTTTTATTATAGTATAGTCTACGAGTAAGGAAGTGTGATTATTTTTGAACGGTTGAAAAGTATGCACAGCGTTACAGAAGCCTTTAACACTTAAAACCAAACCCGCACGTAGACGCAAAGCAATATTTTATTCAATCCCCGATCTTTTGATCTTTAGTCCGTGATTATATCACGTTGAATAAATTCTGTGAAATGTTACTTTTACTAACAGGCAGCCGTCTGCACACTAAAGTAATCCTCGTAGCGTCTGTACATAATTCAATTTATAGGAAGTACTCATTGTATGATACTTTTGTTGACTGTATGAAGTTATGGTCACGAAAACGACAATGGAAAAAGCTTGGTTATAAAAGTGTATATGGTACAGAAGGAAATGCATGATTAGAGTGTATGTCAAATGATAACGATTTTTTTTCAGATTTAAGTTTATCTATCTTAAGTTTAAAACACATCACTTATGGAAATTAGCAGTAAGGTATCCTAAATATCAGATACATACACATTGTGTTTTAAAAGTACGTGTAAGTTCTCGCATGTTGAACCATTAGGGATTGTGTCACTGCTGTGGCATTTGTGCAATAATTCTATAAAATATATCATTTGTCACTGTGAAAAAAGAACTGATATTCGAGATGAATTAATGTGCCATTTAATTAATAAGTTGATTAGATAGAAGGTTGTCCTTTGTCTCTTGTTTATTTCCATTCATCACCTTCCATTGAACAACACCACACTCCCCCTAAAAAAAAAAAAAAAAAAACCCAAAATATGTGAGTTTCCTTGGTTCTCAGTTATTTATTTTTATTTTTTTTCCTAACTGAATGGAAATGTTAAAATTATCATAATTTCTTAAGAAGAGGTAATAAACCTATCTTCCTTTGCCTAAGAGAGAGCATATTATGATCAATCTTATGAGATGCTCATTAACAGAACGTAGGTACTTGAATTATAAAAAAAAAATTTTGTGTTTCGGTACTTTCACAAGTGAAAGACAATCGCCGAAACATCAATTTTTTAACTTTATGCTACAATGATTGCACAACACACTTGGTAATGCTGGATGCAACAGTAATGATATATATGGATTATCTGCCTTAGTTCAACATATCTCTAGTCCCTGTTTTAATGTAAACCTTGTTCGACTCGTATCACAGTATGTCCCATGTCTCGTGCTTTAATAAGAAAATATGGTGATAAAGATATCAAATGTCTATATCCTGATTTATTATTTTTTCTTTCTCCCCTTTCCCGTTTTTTGCTTTTCATTTATTATTTTTGTTTTTTTTTCCATATTTTTTCTTGTTTTTTTTTTGTTTTTAAAGTTTCGTACATTTTTACGCCAAGATGTATTTTTGAAGGAATATTTCATATATACATACATATAGAAACGTTTTAACAAACCGATGGATCGGAAATTCATAGTTTGCAATTTGTCTAATCATTTTAATTTCCACAAATATTATTACACTGCATTAAAGCGTTCGCTAATAACAATTTACTGATAACTTTCACTAACTACTATCAAATAAATTTCTTTTTTTTTCATCTTTGAGTCTTGATAATTCATGCCATTGCATATTCATAAGGTTCCTCATGACAGATTGTCTTGTTTTCAATTGATGTTTAGGCATTGCTTTCATGTTGTACTATATAGTAAAGTTTAAATACATAGCCCGTCAATATTAATTATTAAATAAAACATCTACAGCTACACAACAACTCTTCATGTTATCTTGTTAACGATCGATCTTAATGTGATTCCTGTCCCTAGAAGATTGTATCAAATGGGAATATTGATGAAGTGATGTCAACACAATTGTCACGCTTTGTAACATAGGGTATGTAATCAATTACTTATATAGAATCCACATCAATTTAATGGCAGCTAAGACCTAAAGCTCTACACAGAAACAAATTGAACACAAACTGTGTTACTATTTTTAAAGCCCAAAACCACTGATCTACGTTGTAATAGATTGAAAAAAAGAAGTTTAATATTGATTTATTACCTATGTAATTGAACATTGTAAGAATCATTTCTTATTGAAATGCTATGAAATGGATTAAATTGTGGGAATATTACAATTCCTAATGACATTTTCATACGTTTGTTTCCTGAATCGTCTCCGCGGTATCAGAAATTAAGATATAAACATCAGAGTCGAGTCAAAGTAGGGACAGCTATATCATCCGGTTTATTTCATAAATTGGCAGTTTTGTGTAAAATTCTGTATTCGTTTTGAAAAATGTTATTAACTTCTAAGATACCATTTCAGGAAAATCTTAAGAAGGGAAATGTATCGAAGAAATCGACATTCCTGAAAAAAAACTGTCATGAAAAAACCCTTCAGATATTGGTCGTACATTTTGTTTGCATTTTGAAGTAACTTTCCTGGTACAATAAGGATCTATGTTTTGTAAGCATTTTAAAGATAAAAATGTAAATAGATATCGTAAGTATCTTGTTGAAATTGTGTCAATTGATTCATATATCGTATTATTATATCTTTTGAATTCTGTTTTACTTGACGAAAATATAATTCATCCTTCCAGCACATTCTATTGATATACTAATAGATATTCCATGAATATATAATGAAAAAAATTCACGTGTTCCGAGTCAGTAGGCGTGTAGTTAAAACATTGTTAATTCAGACTTCTAAAATCGATGAAACAGAACTTAAAGACAGGCTAGATAATGCAGTAGTTAACAGAATGACGTTGTAACAAAATAATACACGGATATCCCAGCAAATCCTATCTCGAAAGCATAATGAAAATCCTATTTTTGACATCTTACATGTATTTCGTTTTGTTAGCTTTTGGGATGCAGCTAAAACAGCTGGACTAGAAAAGAATATTCAAAATATATAGACTTAAAAACTATGACCACTAATACTGATAACCAGAAGTATGATTTTGTATATACATTTTTGGAGCGAATGCATTTGGCATATCCTTCTATGGTTACGGCATCTGCAAGTGTCTATCCTTTGGACAAGGTAAGTCGGCTATCTTGAGTTGTTGAGTATTGACATGGGAATTTCAGAAAGGACGACATGATGTTGTTTTTGCTATAAACTGTTCGAGTAACAACGCATTAGATAAGAGTGAATTGCTTTATTTGTGAATTCAAACTTTCTTGCTTCTGCCACACGTATAAAAATATTATTCTTGCGGATATTTAACGCAAAACGAATAAAAATCACCTACCAGAAATGTCGACACGACATACTGTATAGATTTACACAACACGAGAGGTAACTGTGATAGCTTATGAGTAGTGCGTCCTGTGTTGACGTTTTTGCGATCCCTATTCGGAGCAATATTTTCCTCTCAGAAAGCTGTAATAACGGATCTTCTCATACTTTCAAGGTTGCGCCTTCAGTTCAATCATTCTACACCGATCGCGTTTGATACCATGCGATGGATCTCCCGTATGTTGGTCAGTGAGGCTGTCACCTCTACTTCATGGAGACCACGCCTAAAGATGACAGTGAGTGTTGACAGTGAGTGGGGGATGTCACCTCTACTTCATGGAGACATCTCCTCAAGATGACAGCGAGTGTTGATAGTGAGGATGTCACCTCTACTAAATGGAGACCACTCCTCAGTAAGGGTTGACAGTAAGGCAGTCACCCCTGCTTCATGGAAACCTCGCCTCACGATGACAATGGGTGTTGACAGTAAGGATGTCACCTCTACTTCGTGGAAACATCACCTCAAGATGACAATGAGTGTTGACAGTGAGGCAGTCACCTCTACTTCATGGAAACCTCACCTCAAGATAACAATGAGTGTTGACAGTGAAGCAGTCATCCCTGCTTCATGGAAACCTCGCCTCACGATGACAATGAGTGTTGACAATAAGGATGTCAACTCTACTTCGTGGAAACCTTATCTCAAGTTGACATTAAGTGGCAACAGTGAGGCAGTCATCTCTACTTCATGGATACCTCTCCTCAAGATGACAGTGAGTGTTGACAGTGAGGCAGTCACATCTACTTCATGGAGACCTCTCCTCAAGATGACAGGGAGTGTTCCCAATGATGATGTCACATCTTCATGGCGACCTCTCCTAAAGATGACAGCGAGTGTTGACAGTGAGGCAGTCACATCTACTTCATGGAGACCTCTCCTCAAGATGACAATGAGTGTTGATAGTTAGGATATCACCTCTATTTCATGGAGACCTCTCCTCAAGATGACAGTGAATGTTGACGGGTGACAAATACAGTAAACGGACATACCGAATTTTGATGAGTGTTTCTCTTCTAAGAAAGTATCGGCACGGCTTGTATGCCGACGTATCGGAAAAAGCTATCTAAGTCGTTTTTCACAGATCGAGAAGAGTTCTGAGTTACAATTGTACCTTCGAAGTTTGTTTCCACCCTCGTAGACTACACAAAGACCAATTTGCGTATTGTCCAACTCAAAGAGCTCTTCTTTCAGAGGTTGCGGTTGGTCTTCGCCGTCCCACCATTTTGTCATTCCGAGATAAGAAAATTTTCCTCCATTCACTATGATTGGTTCCTGTCCTGATTAAAAAGTAAAACAACTTCTTTTCACCATAACATATTATGGCTCACGGTTGAGTGTATATATATTAAACGTTTTGCACTGAAGAGAATAGCCGTGAATACATACATGTTAATATAACGTTACTCGTCTAAATGCTTCCTAAACTTTTATTCTCTTGTATGAATGATTAGCTTCTCTGGTTTCGGTTTTTAATCAGTTGTCACGGTGTCTAAAACTTCCAATTATTCCATACATACTAACAAATAACACTGATAAGTATTGTTTTTTCTTACAACACTTGATGCAGGCGGGCGCTCGCAGTTAAATTTAATCTGATCTCGATATGACGAATACACCGAATCTACGTTACGAAGCATTGATACGTCATTATAAGCAAGAAATTTAGAAACTGAGGTCATGGTAGACTACATACGTAGCATTACCAGTGACAGGGTGCCAACCCTTGAAGCACTAAGACAGAAACTGTTATTAAGGACGCTTCTCATACATTCAAGAAGTCGAACCTGCTTCTCCCAGTACAAAATGTGTCATACTGTACACTTATGTTTAACGTCTCTTGAATGAATGCTACCCCTCTATAACGATAGCCTCACATCAATCAATTATCTACATCAACAAACGCTTTAACTTACCTAGGATCAGACTTGACGACTTAACACGCCGTACAAGGTCGAGTTTGCTTTCGGAGTTGACCACTAGTAGCATCATTCCGAGGTCATTACAAGCTGCCATGGCATCTTCCTTATTGTAATTTCGAGTGATCACCTTGTACATCAGCCCGGTTAGCTCGTCAGTTGTCATGTCTATATGACCTGGAACAGTCATATACTCATTTGTTTGAAATTATCCACGTTTAAGTTTGAATAATATTTAATTTGTTAATAACAAATATTTTGTTTCTCATTCTGTTCCCTTTTAAAAACATTCTTGCATTATCTGATTCATTTACTAAGGCTTTCATGTCCTTATTTAGCCTTACTGCTAATCCATATAGCGTTGATCAATCATTTTACCTACATCATATTTCAAGTGAATTAAACTTTGTTGATAAAAGACCATATTCTCAGTATGAAACTTTTGAATTGGAAAAAAAAGAAAAAAAAAAAAAAAAAACAAAAACAAAAACAAAAACATTCAAGTTCCAGTAGGCGATCGGGTATGAGACAACCCTTTCAATGAATAAAAAAATCCTTCTCCTACATGAAATGGTTTTGAGTCTCATTCCTTTATTATTTGCGTGAATTATTTACTATTGATTTTAATTTTTAATGGTATTATTATTGTTTATGAAAAGTTACAAATATATCTCACGTTTCCATAACTTTTCTATTTTATCAGAATTAATTATTTCACAGGAAAGAAATACTTTCAACCAAATAGGATTTCGTAATACACGGGGTATTCCACTGATTATAGAGACAGGGAGCCATCGTATGATATAATAATACTGACTTATAAGATCATGGAGTGTGGTCACGCTAGTCGTTATATCTTATTTACACAACCATTTGTTTGCAAATACATATATTTTACTGTTTCAATAAACTTGTATTGACATATTTAGGACAGGTCAACTTGCTATAAGACAATAGAATGCCAGATATGTCATAGTGAAATATATTTAGTTACAAACCCATGTCAGAGTAGTACAGATATTGTTTGTCCGAAATCGTCCGTTCACCCTTCGTTGTTGTCAGACGGGTGTGCTTGTTGACATTGTACTTCTCACACTTTTTATGTATATCGCTGTAAGAGAACGACAAGCACGTGACCTGACGATGGCACTGAAGACTACATTCTCGAAGATCTTTCGCGGGCACTTTATCTAACACATCATAGTCATTGATAGAACCTGCTGGCAGGGGACGGTAGACAAATCGTCGTCTTCTGGTATCTGATGTTGTCAGGAATAAGTCGAAAAAAATAAAGGCTAAGTTTGATTTCAGTTGTGAATAATTAGCATTTCCAATAAGAATTATTTCAGATTTATTCAAATGGACGTTGGAAGTGCGAATAAGGCATGGTGATTTCTTTAAAGAGATATTTTCTTCATTTATTCTACAAAGAAATTAAATTAAAAAATGGCATTATGGAAGATCTAAAAGTTCCCCCATACACCAGAACACCCGACATAAAACCCTATATAGACTAAAGGGACGTGAGAGTCCAAATACTCGTCGAAACTATCTCCTTTTTCAGTCTGATTTTCACAATGTGATGATTTTCACGGACGGTGCACGATGGATGAATCTAAGCAGCATACGACGACTTCCATAATCCCGGTATAGAAAGTATAGAAAAGTAAAGTCGTCTACAGAAGGAAAGTTTATTCACTAGCAGAAAAAGTGATCCTTACCTTGATTACATCCGATAACATCAAATCTGAGACATGGTACAGCTGATTGGACTGACCATGTGATGGGTCTTATACGGATGTACCGAGCTATTACTGATGGAGTGATTGTTCCGAACTGTAATATATCTTCAGCGTCTGTTGGACCGTCAAACGTCTAAAACAGAAGGATGCGTTGGGGCAGACTGCATCGTTCAGATCAACAGACACAAAGCGTAATAAAACGGAAACAAAACATACACTATGTTCAAATGAATAGAAATGTTAGATACATTATTTATAAAATGAATAATTTAACCGTCTCGTACAGTGGCTCAGGTCTTCCGGAGCGCGTGATGCTAGGTGTCTATCTAATGGAAATCAAAATCGAGTAAATGTTAAAATGTGTCAAACGTAGCTGAGAAGATCAAACAAATCTAGCAACTAAACAAATTTTAAAAATTCTGTAAATGTAAATTCATTTTAAACGAAAAGAAATCATTTTTATGTTAATAAGATAACGTTACTGTTCAAATACGATTACTTTTCTATTGTTACATATTATTAATATTGACTTATTATTTCTTAGAATTGACAAAATGGAACCTTCATATACATGTGTATATCAAAATAATAAATCGCACTTGACAAAATTCTGAGCCGATTAGTTTCACTGAATTGCAGCCATCAAGCTGTATTACCTGTGTAACACCATCTGACTTCACGTACTCCCAGTTCTCACCATCGGTACTGTACAAAACGTGATAGGTGCGGATATCGTTTCCCACAACAGATGGATATTGTCGTTGTTGAATCACTATTCCAACCACCTTTTTGAGACCAGAAAATTTAACCTATAAAACAATTGTAGAGGGGAAATTTTTAACCTTTTCCAAATATGGCAAAGTGGTATGAAATAATGGAATCGAAAAATAATGGACATTTCTGTGTTAATTCAGCTTAAATATCTTCACACGGACTATAGGCTTCACTGTTGAATGTGTAACTCATAAGTTGCACTGTTGAATGTGTAATACATTAGTTGCACTGTTGAATGTGTAATACATTAGTTGAACTGTTAAATATGTAATACATCATTTTAACTGTACGTGACAATTTCCATTATCACTGTTTTCATTTGTTGAAATCTTCCTGGATATTGGACGATTTTATAGAAGGTAGATGTACAAAGACAGGTAAAGAACTGCACGGACAAATATGTGATAAGTACCTCCTCCCAAAACAACAAATTCCACTTAAGAAACTAGTGAAATGCCCTAAATTGCCTTTCAATATATGGGGAAAAACTGGACTATTCTTAGACTTTCTATCTGACATTGTTTTTCCGTTGTTATTTTATTCTGTAATCCTAATCTTATACCTTATTATGGCCAAACAAATAACATTTATCTTACACTTATTCTGGATTGTGAAATCTTACCTGGATATGTGGGTTTGGATCGTTTTTTTCACTACACCAGGCCCCTATATTTGGGGCTGGACATCCGCTCGACGACCACTCGTGGTACATGTGCAGGCGACCACAGACTGGCTTGTGATGCCATTCAGTATAGGGATGATAAGACGATGCTGTCATGGCTGAGTCGGGGACTCCCTGGGGACCAGATACAAGGTAATCCCAACAAGCCATCTCTCCCCAGCAGAGGGTGAAGACTTGAACATGCAATAAAGGGAATATTCATTTCGTAAAAGCAATATTTGCCATTCTGTCAATGGCAGTTGTGGTAACGCATCACACATCTAAAACTTTATGTGTATATCGTGGATACATAATCCGTACACCGTCCGTCCGCACGCACGCACGCAAGAACGCACTCACGCATGCACCCACCCACCAACCCACCCCCCCCCCCCCACCCCTCCCACACACACAGTATTTAGCGTACAAATGTGAGATGGGATCGCACTAATATTACTAATATTAAGAATTGAAAATCCAACGGAAAATTCTTGTGGATGTAAGTAGATAGTGATCATATTAACTATTAACTATTGATTGTGGATTATGAAGTTATTTCAATTCGATAGTTTCGAAACACCACTAGGTCCTGTATCAACAAGTCTTTTTCGAGTATAGTTTTACAGCTCAGAGATAGGCAAATGATCTGTGCCGGCTACGGCTCCCAAATTTCTCTGAAATAATATGCACTAAGTAGTGTCATATTTTCCCTGTATAATGGCGTGGAAACCTCGTTACTAAACAATCTTCTGTTATTTCATGTTTTCACTGTATATGATGATAATAATTCCGTGAAACAAACGTGTGGTGATGATAAGCTTTTACCGTGAGATTTTTCAGTTTAATTATTCGTTAAAACACAGTGTGTGCTGATGATTACATTGCTAAATATAATCATTATATCACTTTTGGTGCATTAAGCCACAGATCATATTGTATTAATGAAACAAGATGGAAATGGGGATTTCAAGATAAATATCATTTTTTTCTTGTTCCTATAAACACAGTGTGGCCAGCTAAAGACATTTCCATTAATTGTTAGTAAGATGGAATTTCTATTATATGAACCATTAGCATTGTATTATCCATTCTAAAGTGTAGTTTAAAACATAATCACATATTTTCTGATGCAAATAAAAAATAGCAAGAAAATATATTCTCAGTCACAGCTAAAACGCTGTTTCAAAAGATCTGAAAGCCATTTCAATAGATCAATGTCTCTTTTGATTTCAAGAAATAACCATAAAGAGTAGGAATACTTACGTCCTAATACAGCAAGCATCAATTGGAGCCACTTCACCATCTTGTCTCTCCTTCTTAGCAATGTCCATGTGTAGTCATGATAATAATATTCACTCCTATATGTCTATCGATATATCGAACATACGACCCGGATTTTACACACAGTATCTAACAATCACTTCTTATATATTATTCAAGTCATCTTTCCGGTTCTTTGGTTCGTAAATGCTCAAGAACAAAACCTCTGTCTAAACCATACCTAAATTCACTAATGGGCATCGACTAGATCTTGCTTTTATGCAATTTAATATCTAGTGTGTATTATTTTGATATCAAGAATGGATAATCATATATAAAGTTCGGACATATCAATCTTTTGAAGAGGTTGACGGTGCACCATAATGAAAGATCACAGATAACAAAAGAGGACGTCATAAATGATAATAACAATACAGACGAGTATGAAATCTTAAGATAAATGTTCTATTTCTACGCTTTAATGTGTTGGTGTGTATATATCCGTAGAGCCTAGAAAAAAATAGCAGAATTCTGATAATGTTACTATTACCTTTATACAAAGAAAAATCTTAAATGATAGATTGATTATCAAGTGGGATTTTCTGTGCTAACGTAGACATATAAAGTGCTGAATGTAACGCTCCTTCTCCTAATCTTCAATTGACATTGAATATGTTACCTATGTCACATGGGACGAACTTCAGTTTGTGATTCGGGAAAAAGAATACAAATGAACTGATTACAATTACAAATATTTATTTACATAACTGATCAAAATCTAAATAAATGGACACACTCACTTGGAGGGTAATGGGGTGGGAAGTTTATCAGTATATTGATTAACAACTGAAAATCGTTCATGTTGAAAATTGAGTTTGTCTTAAATAGCTGACGATAATTTGTAAATTTTGAATTACAGATAAGTTATTGATCCTGTAGTCAAGCTGTGATGAGCTGGAAAGTCATATCTATTTACATTGTTTATGCTTTTGTTATTTGTTTTGTATGCTTTTGTTTTTAACTTCCATTTGATAATCATATTGTAAATATTTCTCAACATTATTGATTAATTAAAGTGTGCGGATGAAAACCGTTTCTGCCATCACTAGAAAATGTCAATATCTTTTATATCTTAAAGCTATCTGGAAACAGTACGGTAGATGAATGATACAACAAGAAGAGCACCCCCCCCCCCTTTTTTTTGATCTAATGATTTTAAATGATTTTACTACTTTAATATGTTTCAAAGATTGTTCAATCACACAAATTATTTAAACTATGTTAAGTCTTTGGCATTTACCTCCTGGCACTCGATACAGTTGAATGAATTATTTGACTATACAGTATCGAATCTAAATATGTGCAGAGATAAGAAGTTAAATGCGTCTTGTGTGCAACAAGATGTCTGAATCGAAGTCTCTCTCTTTTGATTTGCATTAATTTTTGTTTTAAAAGTCAGCTTTCTCAGAAATGCAATGAAAACATGAGAATTTGTAAAGTAAATCCCGGCGGTCACATTCTGATTGCTTCAAAACAAATTTTTACTCAATTTTCCAACGTGGGATTGTAGTTATTCTTCTTATTAACTGGCGAATATGAGAATAACTTTGCACTGACTTTATATGGATAAGAGAAATAAGAGGAACTGATTTACAATAAAAGTATATGTAGCTTATCTGTTTCCCACGGTTTTGGCTGTTATCTCTCATTGATTCGGTTTTTAAAAAGTGTCTACTTTATTGCTAGCAAAATCATATTTCATTTTGCCTGTAAAGCCATAAACGTAAAGGATATAGACCAGCCATATCTTTATAAATAACCACGAAGAACAAAAGCTTCAGATAGGTAATATCATGTTTACGTGGGCAAATGAGTTTCCAGTCTTTTAAAAACATTTTAACGTCTCTATTTTTCTCCTCATATGAGGAATATATATTGATTTTCCTGTCTTCAGAAATATTTCTCATAACGCCTGTTAGAAATCTGTGTACAGGTGTCGACATTCGTCCCATTATGCACATAAATATGTAGATGTTATCTATAAGTCTGGAAGCTTGCATAAAGTCACGCAATCGATTCCACGCGGAGTCATGCATGTAAAATACTCGAGAACTCAAAGTTCACTGCGCCAATAAAACTCTTTACTTCGTCATCTGAGAACCATTCAATATGATTCAACCTCCTTAATTCAGGAAGCAATGCTTCATCTTAAAAGCATATTGAAATAAGTTCTTGCTGAATTTTTGCATAAGTAATAAGTGAAATATATCTTAGAATATCATACACTGTATTACGAATATTGTGCAAAAGACACACAAGTGAATAACACATTTTAATGACTTAGAGTTATATACAGAAGAGTCAAACAATAAATTAAATTAACAGCTATTTCGTCCTTCTAGCACTCGTCAGTGATGATAAGGGCCTAAATTTTGAAGGCTAGGAGGCGAATGATAAAAATTAAAAGTAATCGAAAGAAAAGTAAAAATCTAGTTCGCAGATGTGCTATAGCCCCATAATTAAATAAGTAATTATTTTACATATCGGACAATTTATTCTGAACCGTGCCACTATTCGAAGGAATTAAAACATGGCATCAGGCTACGGGGAACCTCGCAGACTTAAAGTCAGACTATGTCATATGAATCAATAAACGTTTTAAAATATATACATTAAAAGCAGGTAAAATTTGCTGTATTCTTCCACAGTACAACATAAAGATATTTCCTATTGTTGGTGAATTTTCATTATTCCCGAGGGACATATCTATAGCTACAAAGTTGATATACCTCCTGTGATGCTGTAAAAGAGGATCATCACATCTAGGTTCGCCGAAAATGAGGACAGGAAGAAACCAGTACTGACAATCACAGCAACACTTCCGGCCACTTGCCGACTGCCAAATATTTTGACCAAAACACTTACTGTAGGTCCTAGTATATCACATATTTAAATTGTTTTTTGATAAAATATTTCTGTTTGAACTTTGCACATAATATTGCGCAAAAAAGTAGTGCGCTGTAATGTGCCTATTGTCAGATTTCTTAAAGTTGTAGATAATTCAGTATGTACATCTCGCTGTAGAATTTGATCTACGAATGATTTGTCTTCGGTCGGAAACGTTTGTTCGTCATTATGAATCAATGTAATGGAGAATATATTGCAAAAAATATAATTTGATAAACTTGTATCTCATTATCAAACAAGCTTCCGTAGTAAGATCGACCTTCGTGGATGAAAACAACTAACTTTTCAGTATTTCAGTACCATGCTCTTCAGCACTTCCGGGTTCATAGCTCTCGTCTATATCCAATCAGGTCCAAGGGAGAGAAATGTGATGATGACAGGCACTCTAAAGTGGAAAAAGCTACCAATGAATAAAATACGTAAGTCTGGTCAAATGTTTCATTGATGCATTACCTATGTTTTTGAGATTTGAACGGGGTTAGTGGTTAAAACTTCCTAAAATAACAAAATAACCTCCTCCCCATACCTTTAATTAATGCAACTAATCAAGAGAAGGTATATTATTTACAGTAAGTAGATTCACGAATTATAAATACACATAATAATCTATACAGCTTCTGCATGTGTGATCAGATTCGTACGCAGTACATCATTTATCTACTCGAAAGGAAAAACAAATCATAAATGAAATAAAAAAAATCATTTCTATATGTATGTAGCACTTTAAATATAACATACACAATTAAGTATCAATGGAATATATCATATAAGTAGCTAAAAAGCTTGTATATCGAACACACGCTTAAAACTTCCTGGTATATATTTCTATAGGGTTTATAAAGAGCTGTTTCGACAGCGTTGAACTTGTGACGTCTAAAATGTGGGCTACCATATCAAGGCGATCGCCATTAAGTCTAAAGTGTGCATTTCGGATAAATCTCAATACCTCAGAGAGAACTTTCTTGGTCTTTTATTGCATAAAATGATGTAAAACAAGCAATAGCATATTCTGAAACAAAACACAGTGAAAAATAATGATTAAATTGTTTTCTTTAAGATTTAATTTTGATTTTTTTCCTCTATGGTAATCATCTTGATTGTGAACAAAGATATTGAGAAAAATAGTAAAATTTTAGTCCTTCTCCCTAAAGATGTTTGAATTAGTATTTCTTATTGCAAGATTCCCCTGAAATAAGGCCAGTGAGTATTAATCTAGTGAGCATTTATTACGCAATATCTTTTATCATCGTATGCTATTTCAATTTCTGCTTTGGAAATAAAAAGTCTGTACAAATCAGGTGTTATAGCTAATCAATCCACCTCTAACACGATCGTACATGTTCCAAACATTACTGGTGGAAGCAGTTTTCTCGCTTTCATCAAAATAGTTGCAAGTTCCGGTTAGAGTATTAATTCCGAAGGACACGCCATAAACCAAAACATTTGTTATAAAAGAAAATACGATATCACTGATGTAAACTGATATCGCTTGTAGCGTGAAATTATAACAGAAATATCTGAGCTGACGGAGTTAACAATCAAGCAGGTGACGCTAAACCCCTATTATAAATTTAGATAGATATGATGCTTGACGTGTTTGACGTTAGTGAGTATACCTTGTTCCGGAATTGTTTTATTATTCTCATTTGGGCACTTGGTGGATATCGTCGCTGAAATTATAGTTTTTGCAAGAGTTTCCAAGTGTTTGGGTTTCTTTTCTCTCTTTTTTTTGCCATAGTTTTACTGAAATTGATATTTAGGTATTTTCTGTTGTTTTTTTACAATGCAGACACTCATACATTAATCATATGACAGAGCTGGTGTCGCTAGTTGTGTCTTGAAGTAATTGTTTAATCACAAGATAGAGGGATGATTGTTAACACTTTAATCAACTAAAACCATTATCAATCCGCCTAAAAAAACAAAAAAAAAAAAAAAAAACAAAAAAAAAAAAAAGTTTTCAATGATTTCGCTTTTATATGTTATTTTTTGACATTTTGCTAACATACATGCAAATATATAAGATTATGTCCAAAGTTGGTTTTTATATGTTTATGTAACTAATAAAAAATAAAAAAGACCACTCTCATCATATATAGTATTCCGCTTGATAACAAATTTCCATTCTAAACATTTGCAAGAAACATAAATATTCACCAAGATTAATTCATCTTACAACTGGTTGTACATATTAAGGACATTAATAATTTACACTTGCCAGCTTGATGTGACTTTCGTTATTAAATTACAGGAAAGCATACATTTAAAACGAATCTTGAGATTAACAGAGAAATGATATATATTTATATATTATTCATGCAAAAATGTTACATATATTTTACTCACATGAAGGGACCTTCTTAATGATAGCTATAGCTAATTATCAGCCTACGTTTCTCTCAGTTCCAGTATCGAGTATATTAATGGACTGCGTTTTGCATATACATTGTATTCGTTTTCACATTGTTTTGGCCATCTTCAAGCCGAAGACCTAATGGAATGCTCCTACTTTTTTCCAAGTCCGAAATCCGTCTGAGTGGAAGACAAATTAAGCCTCCCAGTCCCAGAGTGACGCCACCAAAGTAAAAAGTTATGTTGTAATTGCCACTTAAATCAGACAGTGCTCCTGTAAAAGAAACCAAACTCCTAAAAGGCAAAATATGGATACCAAGTGTATTCATTTGTATCAACTTACACATTATTCTCTTCAGAACATTCTACGGGAGGAAAGATAATTGGATAGTTATTCGCATGTAAAAAATCCTTGTATTAAATGCATGTGTACTTTTTTTGCTAGGTAATCGAATTATTTATCAGCATCAATTTTACTACAGTTAAATCATTGTTAAACCAACCATTCACAAAACGCAATTTTCAGCTTTCACGTTTTATTGAGATGTCTATCACCATTCCAAAATATTATCACACACCATGCGAGTGACACACGTATGTGAATCACAAATTGTATTTGGAATTTCATTTAAGTTGCCGATGACATAAGTCATTCCTTAAAGTTCATAAAAAGTAACTTTAAAATAACTTAACCAACTCGTGTGTTTCTAGATTTATTAACAACTTTAGGGTCAGGCATAATGGAAAAGACACTGGCTTTCTCAATACTGATTACACAGACAATGTCTTAAACAATTTTATACTGGCCACGAAATTTAAAAGTCATACATATTAAAAGAAAACAAATAATAATAAAAATAAATAGATAAACAACATGAATAAAAGTAATGAATAATGCAGTCATTGCAATGAAGTCGCCAGTATCGCCCCTTTATTCAATAAAATTAACTCATTGTATGTGGTACCGAAGAACCTTAACGTACCAATGTCTTCTTACTTAACTTAAAAGACACCAATTCACGAAGAATATAAAGAAAACAGCAAACCTGCTATGGGCGCTCCAAGAAATGTGGACAATCCCATACTCAATCCAACTAGTCCGAAGGAACTAGTAAGTCGATGTACTCCCAACAGTTCTGCCATCAGTACACTCCGCAAGCATATAAAGGTCGCTGCAAAGTATCAATGAATCAATAACAAAACACACGGACTTATAATTTGGTTGGTTTTGCATTAGTTGTTTTTGCTTATTAACAAATACATATACATCACAGAACAAATATGTCCTCACCTAGGAGAGCTCTCCTTTCCACGCACATCTCTTATTTTCACACTGACAGTGTTTAATCCTACATGTACATATAAATATAGCTAAGTTCTACAAACACTGTAAATTGTTTATTCATTTCAGGTTCAATGACCTTTTATTGAATGAAAACTTAACTTTTATTCTCACATAGTTCTCATTCAAATATGCTTATAACCCCTGATGTAATATATACCGTATACAACTGATTCTTCCTCGTTTGATAATGACTACTTATTTTGGAAACCTTGACAACAAAGATGTCTCCTGACTGCGACACGTGTGTATGGAGCTCATCCTCAGCTGGTTGCAATGTAACTGGATTGACTTTGAAACGGCATTAAAAAATCATATGGCTCGGATAATTAATCTTGACAGTTTTCTTCTTATTTATTTAAAATTCACAATAAACAGAGTATGACATTATGTTTAAACTTTTAATCCTGCAAAAAATTTATTAGTCTGCATATTCGTTTACCTGGTGTATTTGATAATGCATGATTTCACTGAAGTTGATAGCTTCTGGGAAATGTTTCATTTTAAGTTCTAAAAGCTCTTCAGGACTTATGAGTCATGGTCTTTATATATAACATAAAACATAAATAAAAATAAAAAAATAAAAAAAATCAGAATTCATTATTATTCACAGACAATCAATGATTTTGTAGCTTAATAAAAGCAGTTATCATGTCACGAAGAACATATCTGGGTTTCTTTCCGGCTCTTTGCGTTTTTCAGTGGCGCTATGCGCAGAGCAGTGTATACAAGATGACGCAGACGACAACAGTCGTGGCTCGTCGATACAAAATCGAACCACTGAAAATATCCTTAGATATTTCCTTCACGAAAATGATTGCTTTGTATTTTTGAGTTGATATAATGTAACAACAGATAGTTTGGTTATGTATAATAATGCCCAAATGGACTAGAAAAATTACCCGTTGTACTACCGTATGTTTTGTGATAGAAATATTCACGACTTTTCTCCCATTTCGAAAGGGTCTTGCAGAGAAACTAAGATGCTTTGTACAATAAGCTAGATGTTGTTATTTTTACATTATCAGTATGAATTCCTGAATCATCCATTCGCAAGGGTTGATGGACACTTTTTCCGTAGAAGGGTACGTTATTATGGTACAGTATCTATTTCAGTAGAGTTAAGTTATATATATGGTAGTGGGTTTCCTTGTCAAGGGGGTTACTTTTACATTTAATATTGTTTCAACTCCTAACCGGAAGTGTGTATTCTCCGCCTCTCCGTTGATTGCTTATTTACCTTTTCTCGCTCTATTTCTGTGGTTACACTTTTTTGTATTTGAACTTATGTGTACCCTGTGTTGTGACAACAGAGGCATTGAAATTACAGCAAACATATTGCATACATCACGATTCTAATTAGAAAACTGGAGTGATACTTGTAAGTATTGTTTCTACAGTAACTATAATATAAGTCAATAAGCTCTCTCCAAGACAATTCTATTCCTGCTAACAAGTGGTGGAAAATTGCTAAGTCAATAATGAACTCTAATAATGTTTCTACCTCTTTACCACCTCTTTATGTAAATGATCAGTATGTCCATCATCCATTTGATAATGCTGAGTGTCTAAATAATTATTTCATTTAGATTTCAACAACATCTGAATATCTGGATCCTCTACCTCAACCTGATAGTAACTTCCCTTTTAAACTAGAAAATATTACCATTTCTAGGCAGGACATCAAAGATCAACTTCTCTTACTTAATGACAGAAAACCTCCTGGTCCTGACAATATAATACCTAAAATAATAAAAAAAGATTAACCCCCTCATTAGTACGCCCTCTTACTCTTCTATGTAATAAAACTTTTGAAACAGGTACTATACCAGCATCTTGGAAATCAGCTGATGTTAATGCTATTTATAAAGGGAAAGGCTCTGAAAATGATGTATCTAATTATAGGCCCATATCTATCAGATCTTGTTTTAGTAAAATTATTGAAAAAGTAGTTTTTAAATATATGTTTAATTTCCTAAAAGATTGTGAAGTAGTTACTAAGCATCAATCAGGCATTTTACCAAAAGACTCTACTGTAAATCAATTATTGGAAATATATGAAACTATTATAAGTAATTTGGATAAAAATAATGAAATTAGATTTGTATTTTGTGATGTTAGCAAAGCGTTCGATAGAGTTTGGCATGAAGGCCTAATTTTTAAATTAGAATCATATGGTATAAGTGGTAATGTTTTAAATTGGTTTAAAAACTATTTGTCTGATAGGAAGCAAAGGGTACTAACTGAGGGTTTTCATTCAACATTTAAACATGTTAAAGCTGGTGTCCCTCAAAGCTCAGTTCTCGGTCTATTCTTATTTTTGGTTTATATTAATGACATAACTGACTGCATCACAAGCAAGTTGAAACTGTTTGCTGATGATACATCAATTTTTGAAGTGATTGAAAATAATTCTGGTGAAATGGCACAGAAATTAACCTATGACTTAAGCAATCTAAATATATGGGCTAACAGATGGGATATCAAGTTTAATCCTCAGAAAACAGAATCTTTACTTTTCTCAAGAAAAAGGGAACAAATTAATCCTGATATACTGTTTGCAGGTGATTCAGTCAGCTCTGTCAAGATTCATAAACATTTAGGTTTAATTTTTAGTAGTGATGGTAAATGGTCTCACCATATCACTAATATATACAATAAAGCCTACAAGAGAATAAATATTTTGAGAATGCTTAAACACAAAGTAGACAGGAAAAGCCTAACAACTATATACACATCCTTTATTAGACCAATTTTAGAGTATGGGGATGTCATCTGGGATAATTGTGCAAATCAGGAATAAAAACTTATTAGAATCAGTTCAGTTAGAGTCACTTAGGATAATTACTGGGTTAAGAAGGGGGACATCTCATTATAAGCTCTATGCAGAAACTGGAATTGAAACTCTTAGTAATAGGCGAAGCCAACATAAACTTCTTATTTATAAAATTCTGGGAAATGAAATTCCAAGCTACTTACGTAATATAATTGAACCTTTTGTTTATACTAATGAGAATGTAAGATATCCTCTAAGAAATACTCGTTTATTCAATCCTCCTGTTTGTAGAACAGAAAGTTACAGAAATAGTTATTTCCCATCAACTCTAAGTGAATTTAATATGCTCCAACCTGACTTAGTAAACATTAATTCAATACAGAAATTTAAGAAAGTTATAAAGCCCAATGTAAATAATCAAACAGGTGCCATCAAAACTTTTTAAATACACAGGACCTAGAAAATATAATATGTTATTATGCCAGCTTAGAAACAATGCAAGTAACTTAAACTCTGATTTATTTAATGACCATTTGCTTGACACTTCAACATGTATATGTAGTCATGAAACTGAAAATGCTCAGCACTACCTACTTGAATGCCCATTATACAATGACTATAGAAACCGGTTAATTAAAAATATAGCTGAAATAGACATAAACCTAGATCATGACCACTTAAACATTGAAACTCTTTTGAATGGTTGTAAGGTATGTAATGCTGACATCAATTTAGCCTTACTTCATATATATTTGAGTATGTCCATCTTACTAATAGATTTAATGTATAATTTCTCCATTTAATCTTTATCTACGGATCACTGAAATAATACCTGATGTATGTAAATCAGCAATATCAAGCGTTTTAATAGCATTTCTGACTGAAATTGATGAGCATTTTGAAAGTATTTTTTGAATGTATTCTTTAAATTCATGATTACTACTTATACTTATGTAGTAGTAACTAATTTGTTAACTTATTATATACTTAACTATGTTAAGAGGACCAACTCCAATATAGATGAAAAAAACTGAAATACCATTTTATAAATCTCTCATACTTAACCATGATCTTACCTATCAACAGAGTAAATGCAGAATTGTTGATAAGTTATTATGCATATCCTTGGGTGGATGGTCGAGGTGTTTATACACATGGACTTTATGACCTGAATCCCTGGATTCTTGCATGGTAAAGTATCAGTAAACCTGTATTATTTCAACTTATTTATAATCCTATGAAAAATAATCTGACATAATGAACTACTTCACGGTCCACAATAAATTGGAGTTACCTCCCTTTACCTGTTATATCCTAATTTAATATATACAATATTTTACTCACTGGATTTGCTTGCAGATAAATGTAATGTATTTATGTATTAATTCTGGAAAGGACTGATATAGGCTCAGCCTGTTGTCCAATCCGTTTAACATATGGAATGTTAATAAAATTTTGTTGAAATTAAAGTCAATACGCGATCATCTTTTGAAACCAGAAGTCAATTGATTCATTTTATCTAAATCTTCTCAGAGCATTGGCTTCCATGAGAACTTTAATTTTCAACAGTTATTTTCCATATCTTTATCTTTCTCTTATAACAAAATACACAGTTGAACTTAAATATAATTCTGGCTAAAATTCATCACGACGAAAAATAAATGAGCTGTGACATAGTATGCTGTTTTTTCAATATATTGATCAATGTGAAAAAGTGAGGATTGTGTAAACAAAATATAAAATTTATATGACTCAATACTCATTAGATCATTCATTTATCTGAAAACACGTGTTTATGAAAAAGTCCTGATTCATTAAAATTCGTTTTCTGGTTAAGAAATAATTAAAAAATACACACATATATATAAATATAATTTTCAAATTTACTATGAACCTACCAGTTACGATTCCAAACACTATCGCGTAGATGGCTAAGATAGCAAAGCTGGTGTAGAATGGCACAAAGAATGTTGATAACCCACCAATCAGCAAGGCGGCGCTATTTATAATCAAAGTATTGGCCCAATATTTGTCCGTCACGTAGCCAATCACAACTCGCGAAACAGTGCTAGATGCACTCATTAATACAATTAGCAGTACTCCCTCTTCACTGGACAGATTGACATCTGTAGCCCATGCCGGCAAGAAATTATATGGTATGAAAAAACCTGTATAAAAAGGACATTGTAAATATTTAATACGATTTGTATTACTAAAGATTATTCGGATTCCTGTATGGAAAACTTAACCTCGGTATGAAAAAAATTAAGACAAATATTTATATAATAATCGGTGTTTCTATATCAATGGCATACCTCGTGATTTAATATGACTACACAGTGACATTGTACAAGGTTTACTTGTTGAATTATGCATTATTTTAATTACAATTCAAGTCGTATGCATTTCCCTATCGTCAAAATGTGTCACTACCAGGATTACAGCATATGCGCCGTAGAAAGAATTTGTATTGCACAGCTTCTGTACGCCTTTGCTCTAAGCATGCTCTTTTGACTTTTTTTTACTTCCTAATAATATAAAAAAAAACATTATTTTAAAGTTATGACATTCACTTTGACCTGGTGACCTCGACCTGTAGTAAGATGACTTTTCATTCGACTTTGCTTCACATGCTACAATAAAATTGAAATATTCAAAAGTTTACTTTGACCTTTGACTTTGTGACTTAGATTTGTTGTCAAGCAAATTCTCTCTTGAATCTTACCAAACTTTGCTTGATGAAAAAATATTTTTCAGTAATATATCAATATTTTATTTCTAGTAAGCGCAACTTCGACATTCGACCTTTTGACTCCAAAAGCAGTCCCAACCAAGTTATTCGGATTAAAAAAGCATTGTTTGAGATTTGATTTTGATCGGTCCAAAGGGAACTCTATCTAGAGTGACAACGGCCTGGATATTTAACTGTTTGAGCCCAAACACTGTTACTTGGCATGCATTCCTCCTAAAAAAGTAAAGTGTGAATTTTAATTTAATCAACTCGAGGTAATGTTTTTCTGCATATTTTTACGGACGGAATGAATAGCGAAATAACGCAACAAAACTCCCTTCTGATTTTAAATTGGGGTACGATAAGTATCTGACATTAGAACAGCCTTTGGTATTCAGTTGCATTCATTTACACTTGGTATGCTCAAAAGTTACTGATAAACAGCTGAATGAATTAGCAACTCAACCGCATTGGGGTAACGTGGTATTCCCTATTGTCAGATGAAGCTGGATCAGTCAAAACCCATTGCTATAATACCATGCAATTTGTGGAGGACAGCAACTTGGTTTGTGCTATTCACCACTTCAAAGAGCATCATCGCTACTGTTAATACATTGAATTATAAGAGTCGTCCAAATCATGACAGATTCAGCAGCAAAAGCATTTCAATAACTGCAGATCTGCCAATTCCACAGAATATTACTTTAAGGTACAATTAGGATTATACTGCAAAGTAACACAGGATTATATTGCAACGTACCACATGATTATACTGCAATTTACCACAGGATTATACTGTAAGGTAACACAAGATTATACTGCAATTTACCATAGGATTATAATGCCAGTTACCACAGGATAATATTGCAAGGTAACACAGGATTACACTGCAAGGTACCACAGGATTATACTGCAAGGTACCACAGGATTTTACTGCAAGTTACCACAGGATTATAATGCCAGTTTCCACAGGATTTTACTGCAAGGTACCACAGGATTATACTGCAAGGTAACACAGGATTATATTGCAAGGTACCACAGGATTATACTGCAACGTACCACAGGATTATACTGCAACGTACCACAGGATTACACTATAAGGTACCACAGGCTTATTCTTCAAAGGTACCACAGGATTATACTGCAAGGTACATGTACCACATGATTGTACTGCAACGTACCACATGATTGTACTGCAAGGTACCACAGGATTATACTGCAAGGTACCACATGATTGTACTGCAACGTACCACATGATTGTACTGCAGGATATCAGTACCACAGGATTATACTGCATCGTACCACAGGATTATACTGCAACGTACCACATGATTGTACTGCAGGATATCAGTACCACAGGATAGTCGTTTAACTATGTCACGTTGCTGCACCACGCTGAAAACCCATGTGGCAAAGTAACTTGAAGCCAAAATCCTTCTGTTTTTATTTTTGTCTGTGTGTCATGCAACAAAATAACCTAGATTACATTTGTGTACGTGTCAGATATATAAAGCTAAATGACGAATGGATCAAACGCACGTGAAAACCACCCTTCCGCTCCTCAACCGCCACCCATCGAGACGTCTAGCAATTGCTTATCAGCAAAAAGCGGACGGTAATGTTCAATATTAAAAACATGCAAATCAAAACACAATTAGTATCTGAAAGTACCGTAAGATCATATATATAAGTAAAGAATGCTTACCGAACATGACAAGTATACATGACGATCCATACATCAACATGGTTGGACTTTTAAGAAGTGAAAAGTCAAACATCTCTTTGGTTGGTAAACAGTTGTGGTCACCGCAACACAGATAAGAATTACTTTTGTTTAAACTACTTTGCTGGTCGTTATCAGTTAGAACGTTTTGGATTTTTTTAGTATTCGGATCAAATCCAACTTTCATCGGTTTGAATGTTGCAGAAAACACAGCACTGTTTAGAGTTATCGCAGACATAATCCACATGGTCCCTCTCCAAGCATATTTTTCCAAAAGAAATTCGTTCACAGGTGCAAATACGAATCCTCCGAGTCCAGCTCCACAAACGGCAATCCCAGTTGCTAATGCTCTTCGTTTGTCGAAATATTCACCAATTATCACTATTGGTGGAACATAGAGGAAGCCAAAGCCAACACCTATTCGTATATCCGAAGAAAGAAATTCAATGGAAATGTAATTAATGAGAGGAAAAATTGGTATTAGCCAATGTTGTGCGTATCTTATTTCTTATCTTAACAGTAGAACATGTAATATTATTGCTTTCTGTTTGTATATTCTAATTAATTTCCTTTGCAGTTACTTTCTCATATCATATATCAATAATCGGAATGCAACAATATTGAAGGGCAACACACTTCTACATTTATGCTCATGTCATTACTTTTTTGTGTATATCTGAGTCATTTATGACAAACTTTCATAACAGACAACAAAGAAATATGAAAACAAACATACACTTGTGTATGTCGTACCCTGCTAAGTAATTTGAAGAAACTTTACGGTTGCCTGAAGTCTTGTTTTTAACTGATTATGTCTTATACAAATCATATTGAAGTGGTTGTCTCTAAATGATAAATTATTTCTTGGTTACCCATAGCTTGTTGTCTTTATTGATTAAACTTATAATTGGCACATGTACCTCCAAGAATGCCGTAAAAGATTATCATCACGTCCAGGTTTGGTGAAAATGAAGAAAGGAATATACCGATGCTGGCGATTACTGTTCCACACCTAGATACCGAGCGACAGCCATACCTGTTCACCAATGCGCTAACGAACGGACCTAGAGTGTAAGTACAATTCTGTGTTTAATTCACAATAATTATTGACATAAGATCGATCAAACAATTTATATAGATATCGTTTATCTCTCCTGTTATTTTCTGAACCTCTCAAAAATGGAATCAACTTTCAGATAAATGACTTGTTTTAGATGAAAACAAATTGATTTTTTAATAAGTTTTGCGATTCATTGCTGAGATATGCCTTGGTGCTCCTTATATAACGGTCAATGTTCACCTTATAGAATACACTTTCTCCCACATAAACAGGCATTGCACTCAGATTCCTGTTTTCTTAAACTATTCGATCGAATGTCCAGCTTAACCAAAAGAATATTCTCTTTAAAATAGCACGATAACAATCTTTGTTTTAAACGCTACATCAGCAACATGAAGAGAGCGTCAAAGAGTAGAAACACGGTGAGTTTGCTTAAATTTTATCATGTTTTTTGTTCAACTGAATCACAAGCAAAGTCAAATATTTGGCAGATATCTCTACATAATTGCTGACACTGCAATTATGTACCATAGCGATACCGTGCTGCCGCAGTCAACATCTATTCTCCTGCGCAAACGAATGAAGGATCAAGCATAACGCGCCCGCCTGCAGTATGTAACAGAGGAAATGGAAAATCGCAAAGAGAAGGCCACTGTAAAAGCTGAAAGAGATCGTCATACAGCCCAACATGCCACTCTATAAGTTCTAAAGGAAAAAAGAGCAACAGGTGTAGCGGAGGCAGAACTCTTGAATCATACACATGTAATCAACAGGACAGGCAAATCTCTGTAGCTAAATCAGTCATTGATGGCATTGAAGAAGAGAATTCTAATCATAGCACATTTGTGGAGCATCAAGCCAGTTTCAGAGAGTCGGCACACATCATGTTGAGGAACCAAATCAAGTCAAGGATGATGCAGTTGTTCATCCTAGGAAGGAAGGAAGGCGTTGCAACACTATACATTAGCCTTAGTCCTAGTGCAGCAGAATTCAAACCTTTCCGTCCTGAATCGCAGAATCAACAGACTGATGTAACCAATTTATCACAGTATCTCTTGAAGAAGGACTTGCTGTTATCTAGGTTCTCCCAATTCACAGATCATCTGGAAGCCTTTGCGAGAAACTGTACGGTTGTCCTGAAGTGGAAGACAAGTGGTAGTGACAAACATTGTACCGCGCTACATTCCAGTGACACGGAGCGCTGTGAACCTCGACATAGTTACGGTGGGGAGAAAACGGCACCGGAGAACATTACCACAAGTTACACGGAGATTTGTAGCGATAACTATGGGGGCAGATCGTGTGCCAAAATACTGCTCCGGAGGATCGACCTGAAAGATAAATCCTGCTTTATGTAATGATTGACGACCAAATCAATAAGACGCTGACCCGTAGTGAGTTCTTCGGTCTCATGAACATTAAGGCGAAGGGAGAGGAGTATACGTTGTCATCATGTTCAGGTATTGTTCATACGCAAGGGAGAAGAGCAAGTGGTTACGTAGTAGAATCACTAGATGGTAGTGTGACTTTGAAGCTACCATCACTTATCGAATGTGATGAAATCCCAGAACGATGCGACCAAATTCCTACACCCGACATTGGCGTCTATTATAATCACCTTGGAGATTTAGTATCGATCTTTTCACCATTGGATCATGATGCATCTATCATCCTCCTTATTGGTCGCGATCTTCTCGAGTCACATCATGTGCTGAAACAGCGCCTTGGACAGAGCTCGCCGTACGCCCAGAAATTAGCTTTAGGATGGGTTCTTATTGGAGAGACATGCTTGAACTGACGTCATCAATGTCATTAAAACGTACACACTTAGCAATGGGAGGTGTTCCTTGCTACAACCTTGTACCAACAATTTCAGTATTAAGGAGGCCATTGTGGAAAAGCCATCACCATGTGAGAATGCAAAGACCGGCAGGTCATTGTTCGAAAGGACGCCAAGCGACGACAGCGACGAGGATACAGAATTCCTTAAGTTAATGGAGGAGGGCGTCCAGAAGGGTAAAAATGGTCAAATCGATTGCTATTTTACCGTTTAGGACATCCAGGAGGAAGCTGCCTAACAACTGATCAACTGGATCTTCAGTTTGAATACGTTCAATTTCATACAGACAGTGAAGTTGTCCTGGGTTACCTGTACAATTGGAAAAGACGTTTCTACACCTATCTCATCAACGCCGACCTGGATGCGGAAATAAGGCAGTCAGTTTCCGCTCTCACAGCGTTCCTAGCGATTTCAAAACTCCTACTATGTTCCGTTCCACAGAGTTATTCTTAGTCAATGAGGTACAACGGGAGGCTTTCCTCAAGGAAATCTCAATTCTGGCTCGGAAGGAACCTTTGCCTAGAAACAGCACCTTGGTTTTCCTCAATCCCTTTCTGGATGAAGAGGGACTTATTCGTGTGGGAGGTAGAATGAGAGCGGCCTGCCTTGATGACGCCAGAAAAATCCACTACTCATCCCTAAACGTTGCCATGTAGGGACCTTGTTAATCCGACACTTTCACGAAGCGGTGAAACATCAAGGTCGTCACTTAACAGATGGAGCGATGCGTTAAGTAGGCTTCTGGATCATAGGCGGAAAAAGACATGTATCATCAATCATGCACCAGTGTGTAATTTGCCGCCAATTGAGAGGAAAACTTCAAAATTAGATGATGGCAGATATCCTGCCTTGTCTTCAACCGGCACTACCGTTATTCTACGTAGGGGTCGACACCTTTGGGTACTGAAACGTTGTAAGTCGTCGTACAAGAGGAGTATTTGCTCTTAGCTAAAGATGGGCAATTTGTTTTACTTGTTTGTCTACGCGCGCAGTCCATGTGGAAGCAGTTGAAGATATGACCTTATCTTCTTTCGTCACCGCCTTGCATAGATTCAAGGCTATCCGCGGGAAAGTCACCGAGTTTCGCTCAGATAGGGGCACCAACTTTGCTGAGGCAACCCATGATTTGGAAATCGATACCATTAGTGTTGAGGACAGTACACTCCAGCGCTTTTTTGTTCAACAATGGAACAGTCTGGGTGTTCAATCCATCCCATTCATCCAACAATGGAGGAACCTGGGAGAGGATGATATGATTAGCCAGCAAGATTCGGTCTGTGAGAATAAATTTGAAACCTTTGGTCGTATTCAAGACTAATTCGTATGCTGATGGCCTGGGGTTTGAACTTACAGCTAAGTGTCTGCACAAAGGCAGTATAGATACTACAGGTCGATGCCCAGCTGACATCGGTACTTACAAGTGTACCAAGAATGATGCCGGCGGGTTCATATATATAGTATTGTTAATCTGTTCTCTAGGTTACATGTATGTGAACAGGTATTAAGTTGTAGTTAATTCAAAACAGATCGACTGAATTTGGTATATATCTTATGTGCCGAAATTATGTAGAAGATAAAATCCATTCCTGACGAAAAACTCACCAATAAGTAATGATGTTCCGACCATTATAGAGTTTAGCATCTGTGTCTTCGCTTTACTTTCTCCAAAATATCTGAGGAATTCCGGGAAAAAGATTCCGAATGTAACACACACTCCATCGATCAAAACGTTGGTCATGAACGATGAGAATGTGACCGCCCATCCCCATCCACCATCAACGCTGTTGGTTTTCATATCTGTATCAACTACAACGTCGGACAGACGGCTTCTCGTTTCAAATGCACCTTAAAAAAAAACAACATGTCCAAATATAAGTACAAGTAGAATTAAACCAGGTGTTCCGGAATAGTGTCTCCTACTTTATCAACGACATCGCATATATTCATGTACTAGCAAGGTTTAGTTTTGTTTTAATTTTTTTTTTCATTCCAATATCCTGACTATTCTGTTCTATGATAATTTCAACAAAAAAAAACTTTTTGGTCAGTTATCATTGAATTGATAGACGGAGTTTAAAAAAAACGATATTGCGATGAAATGTGGTTTAACAACGACGGCTTATATCTGTATTTAAAATTATAGACGATAACGTAACAGGGTAATTGGAACTGTCGATCAGGTAATTAGTTAACCATCATAACACCAACAAAATGCCGTTTTGGATCAGTATTGTGGATATTTAAAAAGTCACCATACCAATCGTAAATATATATTCATGGTGTTATGAAAATACTTGTCGGAAAAATGATGATATAGGATAGAAACACATCTGGTTTTCTGTTTCCAAACGTTTAAAACCTAATTTACAGTATAATGTCTTTCAGAGAAATGGATCAATTTCAAAGAAGATCATGAAGGTGTTCACAACTTTAACACCATCTTGTCCTCATCAACCTGGGTTGTGAGTTTATTTTGTCAACTGTTTTATATTTCAGTATTGAGTAGTTATTTAAGATCATCTTGCCCTCGTAAACTTTCACATAAACCATCAGATTGGGACGAAGCATTTGAATATCATCTGCGACATGTTAACATAATGGAATGTTTGTTACATTTTGCATTGAATGCTTTCCCGAAAACAATTCGATACTATGCATTATTCAACCCGCAAATTAAACCCATAGTTTCGAAAATCAGCTTGCAAGAAGTAACAAAGAAAGACAAATACTTTCCGATCAATTCCTCTGTAATTTATGCATTTCAGTTACCTAAAGTCCTAAAACAACCTCATGGATCCGACACAGGTAAGCCATCGTATAAAGATCAAAATCACATGAGCGAGAGGATTAATGTTATACTTAGTAGACCAAAAGGATCTAACAATTGTTTCCATTTCGTTGAAAACTTTCAAACTTTTGCAAATATCGTATATCGGGAATTACTTTGCGCGTGTCCATAACGTGTGAATTAAGCCACCCTTTCAAATTCGTATTCATTAAAGAAGTCATTCTATTATAATGCTGTTTTTTTTTGTAAATGGCCCCAGCGACAACAACTGATAAGAGTACATTTACATATGATCTGACCACACGGAGACATTTTGTATAAGGTTTACTTGCCGAAGTATACGCTATTAATTAAATCACAATGTGCCTGCATTTGCCGCCATTTTGATTGAATCATTATTAAAAATACCAATCATTTATCGTCTATTTTTTCCTGAAGTAGCAAGCTACATACCGAATTATTCATAGGCTAGTTGTTGATGTGTTATGGAGCAAGCAGTTGATAAAGTTACGGTGCCGTAAATGGAAAGTTCTTGATCTTATCAACAATGTTAACTAACCGGTGTAATGATAGATATCAAATCTAAAACCTAAAAGAAGTAAATACTGCATCACTCAAACCAAACTGTTCATCTGAATGTAGTTTCCAATCGATATTAGCAGAATTTGTGTTCAGCAACAAGTATATCGATGATTTGATGTCTGTATCCTACTGTTACTTTGAGAAATCCAGCTAATAAATTCAAAACGCAATTTCTTGCATTATACATAAATAGTTCTTACCGATTTTCTTGCGATAAAGTGATAATAAATATATAAATATAAGAGATCGAAGAGCGACCATGGCGCCCACCATTATTTGATCTTTATATGCTCTTTGAAAGTTGGATCTTTTCCCTTCTTTTTTCTTCTCTGTTTTTGCTCTTAATGACAAGACATTTGAACATTCCCTTTGCAGATATAAATGAAAATTTTACCTGCCAAATTCAAAATGGCCGCCAGGAAGCCATTTTCTTTCTTCTGATCAGTCCTAAAGGAAATGAGCTCAAGAAGAGAACAATGGGAACATACGTATGAAATTTGAGAGATACCCCTTCAGTACAGAAATAGCAATAACAAACTTTCAAAGTTAAAATACAAAATGGCCGCTTGTCAGCCATTTTGATTTTTTGATCAGACCCAAAATCAAATGGGCAAAACTAGGGACCAACGGAACCTACACAAGAAATTTAAGAAAAATCCATGAAGTATTTCTTATGAAATAGCGATAACAATCTATCAGTCAAAATTCAAGATGGCTGCCTTTCGGTCATTATGATTTTCTGATCAGTCCCAAAATTACAAGTGCACAACTAGAGACCAGGGGGAACCTACATGTGAAATTTGAGAGATCCATCTCTTACTGTTCAAGAAATAGCAATGACAAACTTCTTTGAAAAATCCAAGATGGCTGCCTGGTTTTGTTTTTTTCCCCATCAGGTCCAAAAATAAATGGGCACAATAGGGACCAAGGGGAACCTACATATGCAATTTGAGAAAGATCCATCCAGTTACTTCTCAAGAAATAGACAAAAATTGTTTACGGACAGACCGACAGACCTGGCCACCATCTGATAATGATGGGCTGAAAAAGCAATAAGATTTGCAAAATTTGTATGTTTTCTTCTTTACATTATAATGAATTAGTAATACATCTAAAGGGTTGTTGAACATGCCTCTGAACACAAGAAGTCCACAGTTTCTGCTGATTTCGCTGATTCAGCATCCTTCTCAACCAAGGTGTTTGACTCCCTATCCCAAGTGAATTGTGATTGGTGTTGTACCGCAGTCCAGCAACAATGTACATATATATCAATGTCTGTTTTACTTTTTTTTTTTCAAATACTCAAGTTGTATAATGCACATGTACATTATCACAAAGTGTTGTACTTACATATTACCTATCTTTAATTAATTAATAGGTTATAAATAAGGTTATAATCATAATAGGTCTCAGGTAAAGTTTATAGTGGAGGTGATACACCAAGACAATTGTAATTGATTGTTAGTCATGTTTGACTTTGTTCCTGATTGTAAAAACATGAAAGAACAAGAAACATTACAAACTAAAGTCTAACAATATCCAGCTAGGAATGAATCAATCATGGTATTTTACTCTTAGGGACATTGTGCCTCCATCCCCCGTAGTGATTATAAAAATAATTTGTTTATATTTTGTCTCCTCCTACACACAGCTTTTAATTATAAATTTTGAGTAATCTTGTTATACAAAATTGTATATTTTCCTGAACATCTTACGATTTGGTGTGACTGTTGACACACACAAATGTGAACATGTATTAGTGTCACATATTAACAGTAATTTGATTGGGACAAGGAAAGGAAAAAAATCACAAATTTCTTACTAAAATGAACAACATGCTAGGACATACAATTTATCACTGATTCTTATTCACATGTAAATTTAACACCAGTTTTTTCACTTACCGTCTATAATATCAGATAATATACATGTGTTATGTACGTACACGTGTTTCTCCTCTAGTCCTGTCCACTGTAAATACGGCGTGTCTTTACTTAACTAACCCAACCACTACAAACGATGTGTAATATTCACAGTTTTATATCAGTTCGAAAGTTATGTATGTACATGTGTTTCTCCTCTAGTCCTGTCCTTAGCCTATTTATATATGTAAGTGACTTGTGTCAAAAATCCTGTAAATGCCTGCCTCTGTTGCTACAGTACAATCTGTTCTATCATTTTTTTCTATCAAAGCATTGTGACTGTAACTTCCCCTGTTCACGATACCATTCATTCATTCCAGTGCATATTCCTCACAGAGAATGACTAAATGTAGGCAAACCAGAAATGGTCATAGGGGCCTGACAAATCAGTGCAGATAAAACTTGACATCTTTTGTAATTTATTTGTTAATGACTATTTCATTACTTATCTGTACGATATAAATTGCAGTGAAATAAGATGACAAATTGCTACACACTGAATTTATTTAACATGCTGCATTTTTTTTACATATCTTTTAATATACCAACTACGTTAGTCAATGACCAGTGTTTTCCAAGTGTTACCAGCACTCTGATGAGTCAATAAAGTACTATTGACAAAAACACATGCTTTTGCCCAAACTGTAAGAATCTGTGTGTGAAAGTTGTAACCATGTGTATTTGTTTACAACAGTGTATCTACTACATCCATGCTCAGCCATTCTTTTTTTTTATTATTTATTTTATTTTTCAAAAGATTTTCAACATGTTGTATTGATAAATACATGTACCATACATACACCCTTACACACACCATCCAAACACTCACTATGATAATCCTTAGCAGCATACATCATCATCATCATCATCCAACCTTACCATCCATCCATCCACCTACCAATCATCATCATTATCATCATCATCATCATCATACACACACCTCCACATTCATACACAATAAAACAAAAATAAAACAAACTACAAAAAATACATTCAAACACAAACACAAGACAACTTTGCATACAAAAAGTCAAGAAAATTGAAAAAAATAAGAAAAAGGCAAGTACAGAGTAAAAAGGCAAGATATAAAAGATGAAAGGAGAGAGAGAGAGAGAGAGAGAGAGAGAGAGAGAGAGATGCTGGGCTAGATATTTTAGTAACCTATAGAAAAACTTGCTGTATGATCAATTAGATTAAACCTGATCAGACTATAATAGTAATACAAAGTTCAGAAAGAATCACAAATCAAAAAAGTTATTTCCATTTTTTCCATTTAGTCTCAAATTTCTGTTTAAAATTTCCCCATGGATATTAGCAATGTAATTTTGGCACACATAATAATCTTCAATTGAATTAATAAAAGCAGCAGGATTTAAGATTTTATATTAACTTCTTGTTTGTAAAATTTAATCATAATTACAATGACATTATCTGTCTTACTTCCTCTCATTGTTTACAAATATACCAAAAATAAAACTTTGTTAAAAGAAAATGGGATCAAGAGAGCATCAAAAAGTGTTTCTAAACTTCACAAAAATTGGTGGGTTTCATCGCACTCCCAGAAAACATTGTTTCCCATTCTGAATTGCAGAGATTACAATATATACTATTAACTAAACCTATTCTAAACAAAAAATGTATTTGTTGTTAGAATGTGTTGTATTATCCTATATTGAAACCACTGTAGTTTGTATTTCTCCTTACTCTAACAGCAATGCTGACAATTTCAACCCAATTCAATTAATAATCTTCAAAAGTCTTTTCCCATTTACTTCTACCTGTAGAAACAATAGTATTTTTTACAAGAACATTATACAAGTCCGTACATCTGTTGGTCCTGTTTATGAAAAATCTAACATTAATTGGAATGAATGGAAAGACAATTAAATGTTGATTAAAGCAAATATCAGCTTTCTGCAAACATAATTTAATTGCAGAAATTACACCACCATATTCAAGAAAATTTGTGTTAACTTCATAAATCCCACTAAACACTTGAAAGGAATAAAAGGTCAGAGAGCTATAATCTATAACTAAGTCATTAACAAAACTTAACCCCCTGTTATACGAGGCCTTGTAGAAAATTACCTTTTTTCAATAGTGAAATTTCTATTGTACCAATGTAGCATTTTCAAAACATACTTTTCATTTTTTTTCTGTACTTCTTTAGAATTATTAAACTTCATCTGTGCTTTAAATACATCTTTCCTCAATTTGTTTTATAATCATTCTCAGTATCTTGAAGAAATCCAGTCCCACATGTAGATAATTTATGCATGTCACGGAGTGTTTTGAAAATGAGTTGTCACTCAGATGATTTCAGATAGCGCCTTCGTATCCAACTCAGTTTTAGCCGATTAATAAACAGCCTTACATTAACCATTTTCAGACCTCCTTCAGAATAATTCTGAGTTGTGATACCCTTTTGATTTTGTCAACCTTTCCATTCCGCAAAAAATTGTAAAGAATTGAGATGAAATTTTGCAGGAAGTGTTCATCTGGATTAGGTATAGAAATAAATAAATAGTTAAATTGTGATAGCAAGAGTGATTTGATCTCATCAATGTTAAGTTTTAAACCAGATATTTTTGCAAATTTATTCAGCTCAACAATAGATTCCTTAAATGATAATTCCGAGCCATCTTGTGTTAAAGAGGTGTCATCTGCATATTGTGTACTGAAAATAGGACAGTTACTCATATTAATACCCTTAATCTTATCATTATTTCTTATTCTGATTCACAGAACTTCAAACACAAAGGAGAAAGATGTATGGGGTGATTGGGTCACTTTTGACAACAGCCTTGTTTAATATCTACAAAAGGCGACAGGTTTCCTCCTTGGTTAATAGCAACTGAAACATTAGTATGTAATAACTTAACCCACTTTCGAATATCTTGACCAAAATTAAAATAATCAAAAACTTTCTTAACAAATTTCCACAACACAGAATTGAAAGCTTTCTCAAAGTTCAGCAAACTGCATTACATCATATACAAGCCTAGTGTTTTCCCCGTTATACCGACCTGAAAGAAACCCTGTGAGATCTTCACTTATGAACTTATCAAGAACAATTTTAATTCTACCTGCTATATGTCCTGAAACGATTTTATAGATAATATATAATAATGTTTAAAGATTCCTCGGTTTATCTCCCTTTGGAATGCATGTGATGACACCTGGTCTTTGAGTTACAGAAAGTAAACCTTTTATAACCATCAGTGCCAGGACTTTTATTGTTTTTCATATGTTTTAGTGTTCTAGCTGCCTCGCCTAGTGTCATTATTCCTTCTAGTTTTCCGTCTCAGTTTTGTCTAATTTTGGAACCTCAAACGTGTCTAAAAATTCTGATAAGTCTATATTTTCTATCACTATACTACTGTTGTCATATCATTTACATAATAACCACAAATGAAATCTCATCCTGAATTTCATGTTGTTGTGTTATAATACTATTCTCTTTTTCCATTTCTGGTAGGATCTAGGAAAACCATATTCCTCTTTTCTAAATTAATGAAATGTTTGGTTGGTTTTTTCTCCTTCCTCATGCCATCCTGCCCTGGACCTAATTACACTACCTTTACTCATGTTTTCTAATTCCTTTTTCCAAGTTTCTAATTATAAAATCTACCTGCTTTCTTTCTTTCATGTCTTGTATAGTTTTCTTTAAAAATATCTTCATAAAAAATTTACAATTTCTTTTTATATGATGAATAGGATAGCGTTTCCCCCTTACTTCCATTAATAAAGTTTCAAGGAAAAGCTGATCGTCAATAATGAATTTAATAACTGTATCTAGATTCATCTATTGTATCCCTGTAGTATACTGGAAGACAATACTGACTTCTATCTGAAATAACTTTTATAACCAAATCTAGATATTTTTCATCACAAAGTAGTGACAAATCAAATTTTCAGTCCTTTTCCTCTTCTAAACTAGTTAAATCTTAAATTAAAGATAGGAAATGAGTAGTCTGATCTCTACTTTGGATCTATTTCTGAGCTGTTTACACTTGATAATGAATTGTCAGAAGTAAGAAAAAAATCTAATGTAGCCTGCTTCGATGGGTTCTTTTTTCTCAAAGTATATCTTCTAATATTCAGGGTGTAGTTCCCTGTAGATATCAAACATGACTCTTAATGATTTCCAAAACTTTTTCCCTTGCTTTTTGATTATTGATGTGTTTATGATTCTTGTCATAGTCTAGCTCTGGGTCTAAAACCAATTTAAAAATCCCCATATATAATAACCTTATCATTACCAAAATCATCAATAGTGTCAATTAAATTATCAACCCCAACTGCCCCCCACCCCTCCACAAAAAAAAAAGTACTGTCAGCATTTGGACTGTACATTGGAATAAGCGTTAATTTTGCATCTTCTATAAATACATCATACGCCAAGAAATTCCCGCTCAAGTCTTTCTTTTCTTTGTAAACCTTAATTTCACAATTATTACTCAACAGCAACTCCTCTACAATTAGATTTAAAATAACACTCCAATCCCCATTCACTTCTACTAAATTTCTGGTTTTCCTCAGTAAAGTGTGTGTCTTGTAAATAATAGTAAATAATAAATGGAACATCTCTTAGATTCCAGGCATGAAAAAATGCCTCCCCCCACCCTATCTCTATCAGTTTACGTTATATCCCCAATTGACAAATACACATAAACAAGCCAATCGTTAGAGAAAACAGTTAGGAAATGAAATGAAAAGAGGGAAAGTAAGTTAAAAATCATGAGTAAACGGCCAAAATCAAATACAACCGTCTAGTCACACACACACACATTTCTTCAGTGGCGTCAACAGTAATTTCTGCAAGGCTAAAGTAGTCGATAACCTCATTGCATGTCAGCTTAACTTTAGTTTCTGCACAGGCGTCAAGCTGGCCCACAATAACTTTATTCATACTCCTGGTTCTTTTATCGGATATTCTTGTCTAGTATCAAGCATAAAGTTCTACTGGAAAGAGTACAAAATAATTCGCGTCCGTTGACCAATTAGCTGATACCCTATGCAAATGGACATGAGAGGTATTTCAGACATGAGGGAATAACAACCTCCGAGAAGTTCACCAACCACGTGTGCAGCCGAATCATTACCGTCAAGATGAATAAAATCTAAATCTGGCATAAACCTGAATAGCTGGTTAAGCCACGTTGCAGGTCCTTCGCCTTGACACCATCTTTCCTTATAAACTTCGTCACAGTGGTGCCATAAGCGAATTCATCCTGCACCATGCGGGCAATGTGGCTGGATCCCTCCATGGCGATATGGTTAAGTTTCTTCTTCGGGTGGATATTCGATTCTCCACCAGAAAAAGAAACTTTTCTGTCTTCTTCGTCACCAAAAGACATTTTTAACTTCATTTTTTCAGAGGACATAAAGAATGAATTAGTTTATACTTAGTATATATTATATATGGAACTTAATCTGTAGGATATTGCGACTGCTTCAGTGCTCTCTGGTTTCAAAACCACGCGGTGAAACTAACTTCCGGTAATTTCTTCAAGGCTAAATTAGTCGTAGTTAATTTGCATTTTTCTTGAAATTACTGGCCATATTAGAGATACACAGGTATAGAAGTCTGGTTATGAAAAATACATCATTACTTGTATACATATTTATAGACTACATAACAATGACATTAATAGTAGAGAGGTAAAATTTGTGTAAATAAAATTTTCTCCTGATTTCTGACATGTGATTGCCATGGTTACCGACTCAAAAAATGCTAAAAATGCAAAAATATTGCTAATTCCAATTTAACACTACAACTTTAGAGAAGAAATTTATTTCTGACCATTTGTTTTAAAAGCAGCAGCACTGTCGTTTCTACTTACATTTCAGCTAATTCCAACTCGGAAATCTTTCACAACATGACCACGTGTAAACACTGTGAAACTTTCACTTCCCGTAATTGGCGTAAAGCCACTAAAGGTAGTTTTTACTGCGTAGACACCAATTTCAGACTGCCCAAATAGTTAACTCTAACACAAAGCCAAAATCTTATTCTGAAAAAGATAAAGCCCTACATTGCCCACCTAAATATGACAAGACAAATTTTAGCAAGGATTATTACACGTATGAGATATTAGGAGATCGTGTACTGCCACCCATGCGGGCGAGCGGAAATAAGTAAACCAGAAGTAGTATACTAATAATGTAAAACTGATCTAATATTTTCCGGATTTATTTTATAAATATGATATGAAATAAGTACTGACTAAAGCGAGCGGAAGTTGGTCAACAAGATGCACATTTTGAACTGCCTGATCAATGTCTGTGCTGAATCCGTGTTTTAAAAATCTATCTTACATTTCGGAAGAGCTTAACAGAACATCAGCACATACTCATGTAATGCTGAATCAGCATCTTCTTCTTCTTCCTTTAGAAAACAATGTGTCATCATGATCAGGCGGTGGTTTGGTGGCGCAGTTGTAACAAACTTGTCTTTCACCTAGCCGTCCTGGTAGTTCGATATCTCTGAAGGAATACGGGTTTCCTCCTACAGTTAGACCCCTCGAATGCTTATCAGAAATGTGATTTTTTAAAGTTGAAATAATCATGTACAAACAATCACACAACATGAAGACAGACAAAAAAGAACAAAACAAAAGACGACAAAATAATGCAAAGCGTGACATTATCCCACCCTCTGCTGTTTAAAAGAAATATACATAATCATATATATATATTTAATAGTACAACACGTTTAATTTCTATTTGTTATTTTTAATTGTTCCATACAAAACAGTGGCGTAGCAAATGTTTTTAAGAGTGTATGCTTTCAAGAGGAAGTCCAAGGGTAAAGCTTTTTAACGTAAAAATAAAAGTAAGAAAAAATTTCTCAAGCGAATTTGAGTGTATGCTCAAGCATACAAGCATACATTATTGCTACGCCACTGCAAAATATTGAAATGGAGAACTTCTATTTGAGTACTAGCTTGATGCATGTACAAAGTAACGGGTAATTACCTTGAACGGTATTAGAGAACTAAAAAAAAATTAACTGTTTGATTTGGCCTATCTGTTTCCATGGTAACGGAAAAAAGTATTTAAATTGTGAACTTTCCCATAGCAAAAGATACTACTAGCTTAATAAATGTGTAAAGTTTTGAGCAATGACATTGAATGGTTTCTGAGCATTGGGCCAGAATCATTTTTGCTTTAAAAAAGAAATGAGTTTGTAGTCAAAATATGAAGAAAGATAACATAGTTTTAGTCGGATTTGTAAAAGCGGTGTTTATATGTTTAACTAGTTTTCATTATTAAAATCAGAATGTTTTCAACCACCGTTTTCTTCTCTCTTTGCTATTGAGAGGTTTCGTTCTGTTAATTAACAAACCATAAAAATCTTTAGAACCTTTAGTGTTTTAAGCAATGTTGACTTGTCTTGGTAGAAAAAAAGAGGGTAAAGTTGCAAAAACTGCTGAAACTAGTCGGTTTACATTGTAATTCAGAAAATCAATATTAATTTATATATTTAAATGAATTTGCCATGAAAAATTCTTATTAAATTCATAAATATTACATAAACTGCCTTTCTCTGGGGGAAAAATCATCACTAATATTTATCTCATCATTGTGTCTAATAAGTGTTTGATGGGGAATTTCTAAACATCCAAATACTTGATCATAATTAATTTCAAACAGTTATCGAAAGAACACCCACATCTTGTAGTTTTAATGTTGTTAGGCGACGGAACAGGTTTTACGCCAAATCGGGAACTTTCGGCTGCTTCCGTGTAAGAGACGATGTATTTCTCGTCACGGAAAGTGACGAAAGTTCTCGGAGGTTAAACCGGAAATCGGGTACATCGGAGAACAAACGTGATCTAATCTTGAATGGTTAAAATTGAATTTCATTTCAGTAATAATTACCATAACTTTAGTTTGCAAATACAGTACCTACATCCATCTTTGTATCTTATCAACAAAAGATTCAAACAATCCAGCCCCTACACTCCATGAGTCATCACGGCAGGAACATAGAGTGATCTCCCTTCCTCTTACCTTTATGGCTGCCGACGAGTGCCGAGGTGTCTGAGCTGAGTGCTTTCCTTACTCCTTCTCTTCGTATTGCTTTGGTTGTTTGAGTATACTCCCTTAGTAGTCTATAAACCCATCTCCCAACTTTTTTGTGAAATTAAGTATTGACATTTGTTTATTTTGACCGTTTATCCGGCCGTGTTTTCCTGCACGTGTTCGAGTGCGTGACCACGTGTCTCGTCGTTCGGATTTTTGTGAAGCTGGAATTTGTTAACTTGCTGCTTCGTCGGCCGTTTTTGTACGACCGTTTATTTTTTGCAGTGTAGTCTTGCTGCGTACGGTAGGCTTTTTACTCTTGTTCGTAGTTTTTTGATTGTTAGAAAACTTCGTTGTCCTTGTTTATCATTGTTACGATTTTTTTATTGTTTCGATGATGGATAGTGCCGGGTTACGTCGGGGGAGCAGTCTGACCCTGACTCGGCGCAGCTCCCGTTTGCCGGCGGTGTTATTAGGGTGCTCGGATATTGACCCATCCGAGTCGCCTGATGACGACCCTACCGGTGAGGCATGCTCTGTCCGGGATGCGGGCCCTCCGGGCCGATGTCTCCCGTATTCTTGGGGCGGAGGTTTGCCCACCACCTTCTGCGTCGTCGATTCCCGAGTCCACCACTTTTGGTTCTTTGGTGGCTCCTCGGGCATCCGGTCCGTCAGATCGGTCTCTGCCAGAAGGCATTATTGTGTCTTCAGCTCTGGCCACTGCCGGGGCTCGGGTTATGGAGAAGAATTCTTCTCGGGTTTGCTGGACTGCAACTCGGACTTTAGCTTACTAAAGTTATGGTAAGTATTACCTCATGAATATTGGTTTTACATGAAAAAACCTCCAATTTTTCAACGAGATATTTGTTTTGTGCGTTTCAAACCATTAAGCTTAAGACTTTTAGTATGATTTCATTTCCACATGAAAACTTTGTAGATCAAAATTATTTTTAATCCATTCAACGAGTCCAATGTTTTCATTGCGCGCTGCGGTTACTGTATTGTGGGTATCGAAGTTCCAGCCACACTTCCGTTTAATGCTGATCGTATGGACAGCCATAAAACGCTCGCTATAAATTAGGAAAATGGATTTTAAATTCGAAATACCCAAAAGCTTGATAATAGATAATGATAAATTAGCACTCACTTGATTCAGCTATTTAAAATTATACAGTTGTATTTTTTAAAGACTTATCATCGTTATGAAGCAAAAATAAAAATAATATATATATATATATAAAAAAAGCAAACAAACAAACAAGCAAAATAAAGGAAATGTACACTTACCGGTTTATATGTTTTCCCGTGAAGATTCCAGATGAATAACAAAATACATTTTAAGGAAAAACACATAAAATACTATCACAGTACACGGTATATAACTGGACCGATAAAACCAGAGACTGTCCTTCCCTGGCGAAAGTGTATGTTTATCTGTTATACGTTGTAAGTTGTCAGTTACCTCCCTTGATTGTGTTGTGTACATTCAGTGTCGATGTAGTCCATACTTTATCTGTTATACGTTGTAAATTGTAAGTTACCTCCCTTGATTGTGTTGTGTACAGATAGTGTAGATGTAGTCCATACCTGTGTCTTTGTGTAAGGTTGTGAATGAGGGTATGTGTTTATCTGTTTTTTGTTGTAAGTTACCTCTCTTGATTGTGTTATGTACATATATTTTTTTCTATCGAATGTTTAAATCAAACTATCAATTCTATAGATAAGTAATGTTTCTACTAGAGTAGTGATCCATGGTGAGAATATCTACAGGCTTTGCCTGTTGTTCAATACTTTTGACCATACCATCTGTCCATAAAATTTGTTGGAATGAAAAATAAAATGTAATTATAGCCATGAATACTTATATAGAGCTTATAAATACTAGTCAGTATGCAAATATCTTATCTTGTATAAATGGTCAAATATATCCCCAGTATATGTTAGAGTCTACAAAGGTCGCAAAAATAGCACAAGGTACATTTTGAGATATTGGCAAAAATATCCCGGTATGTCATGTTAGAAAGCCTGATTGTTCAGATCCGCATCACAATAGCTCTATAGAAATGACACTTCATAATGGTCTTTATACACATACATTTCGACTTAGTATGTTGCTGAATATCACCGGTATAGTATGACATTCTATTATCAAAGCGCATTTTAGCTAGGTGGGTGGCCATGGATAACATTGATACACATTTAACAGTATGTTTTTTCATATGACATAACATTACTTACCAATATAAATATATCCATGAAATAGCAAATACACTGTAGCCTACAACAGATTTAATGTCAACGTCTCACTCCAAACCTTTCAATGGTGACG